AAAAAAAAAAAAAAAAAAAAAGTAATTCTCCCAAAGCCAGCCAGTCGGCAAGGAGAGGAACCAAGACTCGAACCCGGGCAGTCTGATCTGAAAGTGCCCACCCTTCACCACCGCACCACACCACCCCTACCCTGTGCCAAGGCAGACAATCCTACAAGGGAAACAACTCCCTTTGTACAAAGTTGATCATTGCAGTGAACCTGATCTCCTACAACGCTGAGTGATGCTAAAGAGCATGGATGCTTTGTTTCTACCTACACACAAATATTTCTGCATATGAGCAAACATTAGAAGGAAGAGGGGAAAAAACAGAACAATCTGGAGTGGAGGTAGGACCTGGGGGCTTTCCTTTTAGATCTTTCCTCTAATGGAATTGACAAGCTAACCCTCTGAGTTAATATAATAAATAAAGGACTGCAGAAGGGTGTTAATCCTTATTTGAAAAATCTCTCTGTCCTCAAGTCAAACCTCTTGTGAGTGTGCACATGGGTGGGAAGGGAGAGGGTGCTCCAATTGGACACCGTGTCTGGGTTGGAATGCCCCCACCCTCCCCAGGATGGGCATCATCTGCTGGGCCTCCTAAGAGCCCTGGTTATGTTTGTTCCTCATCTTCTCTACACTGAGAGCCTTGCCTCTGACCTAACACTCCCTGCTCTGTGCTCAGAAAGTGCTCACCACATCCTACCATCAGGCAAGCGAATGGCAAACTTGGAGCCGGTCCACCTCTTATTTACCCGCCAACTCATCGTGTGATGCTGGGGATGTCGGGAGGGGGCGGAAATCTCTCCAGGCCTCAGTTTCCTCATCCAGAAAACAGGTACAAACAACCAATTTGTCTACTATGCTCGGGGAACTGAGATTATCAAAAATCCAGGAAAACCAGAGCCAGTGTGCTTGAGACTTAGCGTGATCCTCCCACTACACAGAGGATGCCCCGAGGCACACATGGCACCCGGACCGGGCCGTGGCTTTGCCAAACACTCCTTACCGAGTAGAGTCTCCAGCGGGCCACCAGCTCGTCCTGGGACCCTGCTTTGGCCGTGGGTTCCAGGTCCTCCTCCGCCAGCCTCTGAAGGCCCTTCCTGAACTCTGCCAGCTCGGCCTCCAGCTGCCTCCTCTGCTTCTCGTAGGCTCCCCTGGACCACAGCAGGCCCCGCAGCCGCCCCTCCTCCCCCTCCCAGAGTGCACGCAGCTTCTCCAGAACATTCCGCATGTCCTCCAGTTCTCTGGTGATCTTCTCTGCACCCAGAGGGGAGGTGCTCTGGATGACGCCCCCGGCCTGCTCCTCCAGCCTCTTCAAAGACTCCTCGCCCCTGGGAAAGTCACTGGCGATGTCCTAAAGCAGGGAGGCGGTGGGAAAGAAACCCGAGGGGAAAAAGAAGACACGTGCTGCATTTTCCAGGACCACTGGGAGCGTCATGCCCAACGGTAATTCCTATTCCCAGGCTACAGCCAAGGCACCTTTCCAAGGGGTGGACTGTCTGCCTTTATAACATTCAGGATGTAATTCCTTTACCGTGTCATTTACAAGCCATGTGACTGAGCGAAGGGGAAAGTCTCTGTTGGGTACTTCTCTGTCTTTAACACTCTCTGACATTTGTTAATCTTGCTTTTTTAACAAGAGACGGAGGCAGCCTCAGGCTTGAAGCCTTCAGCTGGCAAAAGTATGGAGCAAATAGAACCTAACGACGCCATTTGGCCTCATTACATCTATTTGTATGGTTATCCACTAATTATGAATGAGTATTGGTATTCCATTTATGACAGTGATATAAAATTTCTTTATAAATCAGTGTTCATCGCCTTCTAATATTAGAAACAAATTTTTTGTAAACACTTTTGTCTGTTTTATTTAAAATACCTTCAAAATACTTTTTTCACTTTTTTAGTCAAGTGCAACTTACATGGAGTGCAATACACACTGTCCTTGACTTAAAATGGTTCGACTTATGATTTTTTTAACGATGGTATGAGAGCAATATGCATTCAGTAGAAACTGTACTTTGCATTTTGAATTTTGATCTTTTCCCAGACTAGTGATATGCAGCACGATGCTCTCTCGTGATGCTAGGCAGTGGCAGTGAGTGTAAACCAACATAGTTTTCACATTCACTATGGTATTCAATAAATTACATGAGGTATTCAACACTTTATTATAAAACAGGCTTTGCGTTAGATGATTCTAGGCTAATGGAAGATGATTCTGAGCACACTTAAGGTAGGCTGGACTAAGCTATGATGTTTGGTAGGTTAGGTGTATTAAATGCACTTTCGACTTACGATATTTTCAACTTACGATGGGTTTATCGGGACGTAGCCCTACTGTAAGTGGAGAAAATCTATATATAGATCTTAAGCGTTACTGTTCAAAGAGATTTCAGGAATATATATGCCCATGCAGTCCACACTGTTATCAAAATAGAGTGTTTCTAACATCCCAGAAGATTCTAGAACTTCATCTATTTGAAATCATAGAATATGTTATTTTTTGATACTGGCTTTTTTCACTCAGCATAATGCTTTTTAGATTCTTCTGTGCTGTCAGGTATATCAGAACTTCATTCCTTTTTATTGACTAATACGCCTTTGTACATATATTCTGTTCTATGATGTGTTTATCCAATACTCTGTTGATAAAAATCTGAGTTGTTTTCAGTTTAGGGCTGTTATGAATAAGGTTGCTGTGAACATTCTTTTACAGATACCCACACTTTTCAAAAGTTCACTTTAGGGCTTCCCTGGTGGCGCAGTTGTTGGGAGTCCGCCTGCCGATGCAGGGGACACAGGTTCGTGCCCCGGTCCGGGAGGATCCCACATGCCATGGAGCGACTGGGCCCGTGAGCCATGGCCGCTGACCCCGCACGTCCGGAGCCTGTGCTCCGCAACGGGAGAGGCCACAACAGTGTATATCCCTTTGCTTTTACAAAAGACCTACAGTAGTACCTGTTTTCGCTACCTGAAAGAAATCCAAAGAGGATTTTAGCTTTTGCGAGAAAAGGTCATTACTTCTCCGCTTGTTTTCTGTTTGTTTGTCTTTTTAATTTTTTGGCCGTGCTGCGCGGCATGTGGGATCTTAGCTCCCCAACCAGGGATCGAACCCGCCCCGCCTGCAGAGGCAGCACAGAACCTTAACCACTGGACCGCCCGGGAAGTCCCACTTCTCTGCTTCACACCATTTCGGCTCATGAACAGTTTCATAGGAACACTACTTTCAGATAGTGGGGAAACTGCACAAGTCATAGAAGATATTTTGTGGTCACTGTTCATTGGTTTTTTCAAAAGAGAGTCAATTTAAATACAAATATTAAATAAATGGTATAGGTGCTGTAGAGCTGTATCAAAAATTATAAAGTGGTCCTTGAATTATTGAAGATAATCTACCCACTGACTTTACAGAGGGAGTCGGAAGCTCACTCAAGACCACAGCAAGTCAGGAAGCCCAGAGTGGACCCAGCTTCTCCCTGCTGCAGGTTTGATGCTCACACCAGGGCTCCTTACCTTCACATACTGACATGTGAGGTCAGATTAACGCTTTGTCGTCGGGGGCTGTCCTGTGCACTGTAGGATGTTTAGCAGCATCTCTGGCCTCCATCCGCTAGATGCCAGGAGCACCTCCACTCCCAGTTGTGACAACCAAAAATGTCTCCAGACGTGGACAATGTCCCCCATTTGAGCCCAGCTGGTCTAGACCATGCTGCTGTGGCCTTGGCCTTCCAAATGCCCTGCTGGCTCAGAGATTTCCATAAGGCAGCTGAGGCCCCAAGCATGGGATCTACACCACATCCCATGCTTCTCTTGTGGGGTCTGTGTACAGGGATGTTTGTATCTCCTGGGACATCCCAGCCCCATCCTATTAAATAAACTCTAACAGAGACCCACCAGCCATGAGCGCTCCTTCCCCACTCTGGCAGAGACTTGCCGGGGGTTACCTGCAGCGCCGAGAGGCGGTCCTTGGTGCTCAGCTGGCGCCTGCGCCCCATGCAGCCATGCACCCGCTCCACCGCCGCCTTCAGCCACAGCTGGAACTCGTCCACGCTCACCTGGAAATGTTCATGCTCCTGGGCCACCCGCTCCAGCAGGTCCGCCCTGTTCTGTGGGAGGGGAGGAGGGTCACCGGCCGTAAGGGCCCCCAGCCCGGGCCCCCCCGGCCTCCCAGGCCTGAATGCGTGCGCGTGCGAGTGTGGGATGCAACTGACCCTCAGCCCTTTCGCTGGACACAAAGATCCCAGACATCCTTCTCTACCTTAGCAATCAGCCAAGAAATTCTTGGCTTTGGAGACCAAAACATGCCAGCACTGGGCTTGTCAACCACACAGTGGGCTTCTTTTCCTGCCACGTCCTAGGAATGGCACTCAAGACGGCGCCGTGGTAACAACTACATAACACTACCATTTGAGCACTTACCAAGGTGCCGGCGCTGCCCTAAGAACTTTGTGTACAAGATCATCTCACTGAATGCTCCTGACTGCCCCCATAAGGTGGTACCATTATTATCCCAGGCTGATAGATGGGGAAACCAAGGCACGGAAAGTGAAATGACTTGCCCAAGGTCACCTGGCTAGGAAAGCACCAAGATTCCAACCTGGGAGGCAAGGCTGGGCCAACGCACCTCTGCTCCATTGCGACTATGTCCACGGGGTACGAGAGTAAACAGCAGGCTGCCCCCATTTCCCCCTGAGTGTGGTGATTCGCCTGCATGTGTTGGAATTGCCTCTATTTTCAGACAATCCCACTGAAGCTCTAACCACACAGGGGCAAGATGGTGTCCTAAGGGTGGGTGACATTTGGGGAGATAACAGTGTCCTGCTATAAGACCTACTGTGTGCCTAGAGATTCTGATTTTCAAAACACATCCCTGATTACAGCACCATCTCTTTAAACCCCTCCACTGCTCCCCACTGTCCCCAGGCCCAGGTCCAAGCATTGTAGCCTGGTGGTCAAGGGCAGGACCCCACGACGCGGCTCTGCAGACCGGCGTTCAAGACCCTGGGCTTCGGAGCCCACTGCCTGGGGCTTGACCCTGGCCCCCCTCGAGCTTATAATTAACCCATCCGTATGGTGTGGTTGATAACAGTAACTGCCTCATCAGGGTGGTGTGCCATTAAATGAGTCAGGGTTCGCACAACCCCAGAACAGCACCGGGCAGCTAGTAAGAGCTTGAGAACTCTGAGCCACTGTTTATTGTCACCTGTGTCCCTCTGGTCTTGTCACACCCAACCAAGTGAGGGGTGCCCACGTGGCAATGCTAATCTCCAGGCCCCACCTGCTCTGAAGCTTTGCCCACTGCCCCAGGCTGTGGCTCTCCCCCAGCCTTGTCTACCGAACTCTCATCTGGCGGGGACCAAGCGCTCCCTAAGGACACGGGGGTTGATTTCATCTCCCTGGTCCCACTCAGGGCAGGCTCTGAGACTAAGTGCTTCCTGAGTGGCCAGATCTAACTAAGTGTGGGGTATGTGCCGGTGGAGGGATCTCTCCAAGGAGAGCCAAGAAAAAGGAACCAGGGGACCTTCATTTAGTAAGCACCTACTATGTACCTGGAAATAGACCAGCATTTTCGTATTTAATATCTTCACAAGGATCCCAAAACTGTCCCATTATGCAAGTATCCAAGTGGCTGTTGGGAGGTAACATAACTCTTGCAGACAAGATTTAAACGCCAAGTTCAGACTCCAAAATCAATGCTCAGGCCCAGGGGGTGGCAGAATCTCTCTTTCTCGCAGATGGTAGATATTCTGGGCTTTGCCTGCCATGTGGTTTCTGCTGCAACCTCTCAACCACTTGTGTGCTACTTACATTGTAGCACACAAGTTGCAGCCACAGGCGAACACATAAAGAACGGTTGTATTCCAATCAAATGAATCATGGACACTGAAATTTGAATTTCCTATCATTTTCACATGTCATGAAATATTCTGCTTTTAATTTTCCCCCAACCATTGAAAAATATAAAAACTATCTTTGGTTTACAGGTCATAAAAAAGTCAGGAATTGGGCTGGATTGAATCTATGGGCACAGTGGTTTGCTGACCTCAGCTCTCAGCCATGGAGCCAGGCCATGTTCAGGAGGGTCCTGACCTTCTACGAGGCTAAGCCAACCATTCTCAACTGGGAAGGGTAGACGGACACGTGGAATTGAAAAACCTCCCTGGCTATTTGTATGTGCCTTCCCCTCCCGTGGAGAAGCCCCTCACCAAACCTAGAAACACTAATTCATTTAAACCTTTGCAACACCCATGGCAAGTAGGAGAAAATATCCCCATTTCAGAGACGGGGAAACCAAGGCACAAGATCAAGTCCTTCAGTGAAGCGCTGAGAATCGTCTCACTTATGGGAGTGAGGCTCAGAGCTTCAACATGAGAGCTTGACAGATGGGAAACACGGGGCTGCTTGAATTCAGAAAGTGGACCAAGGCCCAGTGACCACCTCCTTCACGTTTCCCCTGCTGCTCCCCGTCCCCGCAGGATTATCTGCATCCACCAGAATCCTCCCCGAGCTTCCTCCATCCACGAGAAGATTCATTTATGAAACAAAGTGAGTCAAGAATACTAAGCAGAGAATAGGGGCTGGGCCCCTGGTTGACACTGATGGTGATAAAGGTTGTAGTGAGGCAAACTCTCCAATAAAAGTGCCGGCTGGCGGCTCTGTGTGTGTGAAGAATGAGGTGCTGGCACTGGGGGAGATCCAGAGTAAATAAAAGCCTCTGTGATGGTGAGCAGGCGCGCTAGGAGAGGAACACGGCCCAGCAGGGCAGGCATCCAGCCGCGCTCTGTGCCAGGCATAACGAGATCACAGAACACAATTCAGCCACGGCCGGGCAGGGCACATCGGAGGAATGTGGGTGACAAATGGGAGAGGGTTCCACCTCCTCTCGTTACACCAAACAATCAAACCATCTGTGTGGGCAGAGTTGTCAGGAATGTCAAAACCCAACCAATTAACAAGGGCGGGAGTGGATTTGTGCCTCTGCAAAGGGCTGCAGGAAGGGCTCTGATCCCTGGCCGAGATGCCAAACAAACACAGCCACAGAGGGAAGCAGGGAGGAGGAGGGTGCTACTATCTGCCTGGCCCTTCAGAAAACAGAATCTTTGGATTAAAAACCATCAGGCTAAGTAAACAAGCAGGTCCCACCTACGGGCAACCAGCCTGCTTTGTTTATTCTTGACTTTCAGTTGCTTTCTGCTGGCTGTGCCATTGCTCATTCCCGGGCTTGGCCACTTTTCCTGATCAAGAATCTCCCTTCAGGGAGTGGTCACGAAGGATACAGTCCAGAGGTGGCCCCCGCTGTGCTTCTGTGGTCCTGTCCCTATCAACACCAGAGGCCTTGCTAATTAACATATTGTAAGTCGAAACTGGATTTTTAGAGGCAAAAGTAGTGGCTTGTTAACCAGCACGAGAAATAATGAAATGGGCTCTCCTCGGTGAAACTTGAGATATTAATACATACAGTGTCTCCTATGGCCTGAGATGCATCCTCCCCAAATTCACACGATGAAGCCCTAACCCTCAATGTGATGGTGTTTGGAGGTGGGGCCTTTGGGAGGTGATCAGGGTTATATGAGGTCATGAGGGTGGGGCCCTCACGATGGGATGAGCGCCCCTATAAGAACAGACACCAGAGAGCTTGCTGACCCTCCCTCTCCAGTGTGTGAAGACACAACAAGAAGGCCACCATCTTCAAGCCAAGAAGAGGCCCCTCACCAGGAACCAAATCTGCTGACACGTAGAGTTCAAACCTCCCAGCCTCCAGAACTGTGAGAAACAAATTCCTGTTTTTTAAGCCACCAAGTCTATGGTATTCTGTTCTGTCCACCCGAGCAGACTAAGATAATATCCCAGGGACCCTCCCCACTCTGAAAATACGCCTGGACCTCTAGGGATCCCTGCATGGCTCTCCTACTCTCACTGGGGTGGGAGGATTTCAGTTGCCTGCCTCAGGGTGGCTTTCTCGTCTGACTTTAGTGCAAGGTGAGACCTTCATCAAATGTACAGAGCAGGTGACCAGGAGGCATCCGGGCCACCAAGAATCTCTGAGGGCTACTGGCCATGCAGTGTCCCTCACCCTGCTTAGGGTGGAGCCAGAGTGTCTTCCTTGCATCTGGGGCTGGAAGGCCCATTATGGGGTATGCCCCGGGAGGCTGACGTTGGGGAAGCTATATCCTATTTTACTAAAGAGGACCCTTGCTAAGGGTGATATAAAAGTTTGCCCCTCTCAGTAGCTTCTGTCTTCCGAAGGTCATGGCATCATCTGGAAGCTATGACTGTTCTCACCAACAAAATGCACATTCACGTGACAGTTCGAGTATAACTTCAGAGGCTCTGTAGGGGCCTGCCCTGGCCTCTCCCCCATATACCGCCTTTCAGTCTTCTACTGCTGGCCCTGGGAGAGACAAGAAACAGCTCCCCATTCACCACCCCTACCCCCAACCCCGTCCCGAGAGCTAACCGGGCTCCCTGTGAGTTAGAACACAGCTCCCAAACCTCTGGCAGCCAGGAGCAGAAAACCAAGGGTCTGTGAGCTTCAGCCAACAGCTCAAAAGGCCAAACTGAACTGCCTTCTCTCATAGGGTCCAGTCACCCTGCACACCCCCCAGTTTCCACACTGAGGTCAAAATTCACCAGCCCGTCTGGCAACTCGGAGGGCTTCTGCCAGGGTGGCAGCTTCCCCCCACCCCTCCATCACAGGCAGAGCCCCCAGGGTCCTGCCCCCAGGATGCTGCCAGCTGGGCTCCGCCTCGGGAAAACCCTTGGAAACAACCTGCTCCCTCATCCAGGGGCTCGAAACCTCCCATGTACCACTGCCTCCACTTTCTGAGCTGGACCCACAGGAGCTCTGGCGGCCCCTGATCTCCCCTGATGGACACAGGTGCAGCGACTCACCCAGGACCCGGGGCAACCACCAAAGGAGGAGCCCACATAGGGAGTCGCCTAGGACTTCTGGTTCTTTCTGATGGGCCAGTGGTATCTGACCCTTAGATTATTATTATTTTTTTAATTAAGGTATAGTTGATTTACAATGTTGTGTTAATTCCTTCTGTATACAGCAGAGTGACTCAGTTATACAGATATGTACATTCTTTTTCGTATTCTTTTCCATTGTGGTTTATCACAAGATACTGAATATAGTTCTCTGTGCTATACTGTAGGACCTTGTTGTTTATCTGTAGATTATTTTTTAAGTCAAAATGAAAAAAAAGAGCCCAGTCACACCTTCTCTACTTACCACATAAGAAGGTTGGGAGGCTCAAATGAGGTCAAAGACATGAAAAGATAGCATTCGCCAATAAGAGTTGTGATTTCTATACATTTTTGGATCCAGTGAGGGGAGGGTTCCCTAGAGGGATGATGAGGATCTCTGAGGTGATCATTTCTTAGAATTGGTGTTCACCGGTGCCCCAGGCATGCCCCTTCCACACACACGCGTGTACACATACACACACACACAAAACCACTTTCCATTTCCTGCACGAGGCGCTCTCTGCTGATTGGCACAAGCACCTGTTTCCTGTAAAGTCACAGCAGCAAGGAGGCCATGGGCCAGGCACCTCCCCTGCCCGAGCCCGTGGGGCAGACCTGGAGAGAGAATTGCTGTTAAGCAGGCTCTAGACACTTGGATGCCGCGAGGGAGGGCCAGCTGGCTACATCTCTGAGAGCCAAGCTCCACCACGCCTGCCTGTCCTCTGAGCCTCCCAGCTGCAGGGGCGGGGTTCTCATTCATTCAATGAAGGGCTCCTAGCACCTGATACGTGGCAGACACCATTGCTGTGGCTATTTCTTCTCACTGCTACTGAGAGCACAAGTCATCCTTTATTCTGGGAAAATGCTTGCCAACTTCAAAGAGCTCACATGCAAACTCATTCAGTCCTACAACCTGGCTCCAGGTAGGGTGAGCACCCCAAGGCCACACAGCTGGGAAGCAGCAGAGCCTGGCTGGAACCCAGGTCCCTTTCCAAGCATTCTGGGGCCAGCGTCCTATTCCTACTCAAGGTTTCTCAGATCTCTGCTTATTATAGAACCACTTCCCATAACTTGAAGGACCCCAGGAGACTTCCACCTCCAGCAACATGGGAGAGCTGAATACCCTTCCACCATAGCCAGCCAGAAATGCTGGATAAAATGTAACAAGCATCATTTAAATGCAGAACCACGCACACACCGCACACACCAAGGTAAGAGATATCCCGTGGACCAGATGCAAAGATGCTATGGAAACCAGGATGCTAAACCCACATGTGTGCTTGACGTCTCCTTGGGTTTAATGCTCAGGTTGGAGGAGGAGGTAAGACTCTGGGCCCAGGGGGGCAGAGACCATGGCAACAAGGCAGAATACTCAGGGGACTCCCCCTCTGTCAAAGGGTGAACCAGAGAAAAAACCTTCCCACCAGCGCAATACAAGACAGAAGCGTATGTATTTCAGCCTGGGCTCTGGCTGAAAAGACAAATGAAAAGATAGTCACCTTTCAGAGTATGGAGCCAGGAGCCTCTTGCCTCATTTTGGTTTAGGGTTCAAGTGCAGAGAACCCACTTGATTTAGGAACCCCCAAAACATTTCAGTGACACTCAATAGGAACCCTGAAGGTAAATTCCCATGGTAGCCTGGCTGAAGAAAACACAAGCTCTCTGAGGGCCAGGCCCAACCACGGGCTTCTGCAGATAAGGCCCCAAATAGGATGAGCTCACAGCTCAGAATTACGAAGTCTCCAAGGAAATGATCCACCATGTCAGGAGACCCAACAGATGGCAGCATCAGGCCAGGAACTTCAGCTACTTGAGCAGCCTGACGATTATAAAATGTGTATGATTAAAATGACTACAGATAGAATCCGTACCTGAGAGGAGTGCCACGTTTAAGAGAAAAAGGACAATGAAAAAAAGAGGGGCTTCCCTGGTGGCGCAGTAGTTAAGAATCCTTCTGCCAACGCAGGGGACACGGGTTCGAGCCCTGGTCCGGGAAGATCCCACGTGCCACAGAGCAACTAAGCCTGTGCACCACAACTACTGAGCCTGCGCTCTAGAGCCCGTGAGCCACAGCTACTGAGCCCTCATGCTGCAACTACTGAAGCCTGCGCGTCTAGAGCCCATGCTCCGCAGCAAGAGAAGCCACCGCGATGAGAAGCCCACACACCGTAACAAAGAGTAGCCCTCACTCACCGCAACTAGAGAAAGCCTGCGTGTAGCAACGAAGACCCCATGCACCAAAAAATAAATAAATAAAATAAGTAAATTTTTTAAAAAAAGAAGAAAAAATGAATGATGGATATAATACAAAACCAAAGAGAATTTCCTGAAACAAAATTGAACTTAATAACTCAATGGACTGTTTAAACCAAGGCAAGAATGAGGTGAGAGATGGGGACAAAGAATGGGCAGAGGAATTGGGGGAAGGACAAAAGAAAGCAGAAGAAGAAAGCAAAGGAGAAGGACTAAAGGGCAGGAGGAGGGAGGGAGGGAGAGGGGAGGGGAGCTGGGTGGAAGTGAACCTCAAAGTCCATCAGTCAGTCAGTCAACATACACTTACTAAGTACCCACATGTGTGTATTAAGCATGAGCAACGCTGGCCATACAGATAGTAGATAATGTGTCAATGGGTGGATGGATGGTGGAGGGGTGGGTGGATGGGTAGGTGGAAGATTGACAGGTAGGTAGTTACATAATGCTTGGGTGAGTGGATAAGAGATGGGTGACAAGTAGATAGCGAGTACGTAAGTGGGTGAAGGGGTAAACGGTGGGTAGCAGATAGTGGAGAGATGGGTGAGTACATGGGTATGTGAAGAGTACATAGGTGGGCTGATGAGTAGGTGAATGAATAGATGGGTGGGTGATTAAGTGGTTGGAGAGAGGAATAGGGGATCTAGTTAGGTTAGTGGAGAGGTAGATGGATGAGTGGGTAGACAGATGGATAGGAGGGTGGGGAGATGGATGGATGGATGGGTAGGTAAGTGGATGGAGTGGTGAGTGGGTAGATAGTAAATAAAGGATTTGGTGGCGGATGGAGTGGTGAGTGGGTAGATAGTAAATAGGGGATTTGGTGGTGGATGGAGTGGTGAGTGGGTAGATAGTAAATAAGGGATTTGGTGGTGGATGGAGTGGTGAGTGGGTAGATAGTAAATAAGGGATTTGGTGGTGGATGGAGTGGTGAGTGGGTAGATAGTAAATAAGGGATTTGGTGGTGGATGGAGTGGTGAGTGGGTAGATAGTAAATAGGGGATTTGGTGGTGGATGGAGTGGTGAGTGGGTAGATAGTAAATAAGGGATTTGGTGGTGGATGGAGTGGTGAGTGGGTAGATAGTAAATAAGGGATTTGGTAGTTAGTTTAGAGGGGAGATAGATGGGTGAGTGGGTAGACAGTTGGATAGGAGGGTGGGGAGATGGGTGGATGGTGGTGGGTGAGTGGTGTCGGGTGGGTGGATAGTAGATGGTGGGTAGATGGATGGATGGATGGATGGATGGTGAGGGAGCAAACGAGTGGCTGGACGGGTAGATGGGAGCAGATGATGGATGGAGGGGTGAAGACAGCCCTCACCCACCTGGGCTTTGGTCTTCACCGCGTCGTACTCGGCCTTCATCTTCTGCGCGTCTTCGTCCACGCTGGGGTCCCCGATCCTGCTGAACAGGGAGGCCGCCTCCTCCAGCAGCCGGTCCAGGAGCACGGCCTGATTGTCCACGTTCTGAAGCAGCACCTGGGCGTGGCTCAGCTGCCAGCGCTTCTCCTTCAGGCCCAGCTGCAGCTCCACAGGGGGCTCGAGCACCACCGTCATCTTCTGGAACCAGCGGTAGAACTCATCCCGGGCCAGCAGGTACTCGCTCCAGTGCAGCCACACCCACTCAATACGGCTGCAGGCAGAGGCCACGGCCATGAGCATCCCCCCACCAGGCTCATGGGCGGGGAGGCCGTGCCGCTGCCCCCTCCCCGGTACTGGGGGGCTGCGGGAGGGGGCACGAGGACACCCTCTCGGGCCTCACCCCAGTCCTGATAGACAAGACCCTCCCATCTGGGAAACAAGCTCCATGGGGCTAATGATCAGGGTGGCTCAGATTCCAGACCTGCTCTAAGAACCCCCAGGCTGCTGATGCCTTCAGTCACCAGGACCCCAAATTCTAGCCGCAAACTCCTATTAGTGATGCACGACGATGCCCCCAGTTGTTTCTCTCTGGTGTTGGGACTCCACACACAGTCACCCTGGCTCTTACCACATGGGTGCCCACTAGCAGTCACGAGAAGACTGCCACGGGAGTGTGTCTCTTAATTTGCAGAGTACAATAGGATCTGTGGGCTCGTCACCGCTCAGCGGGGACAGAGGGCTGGGGCCTGTGCATGGGTCCCAGGCGTGCCATGAACTCGCTGCATTACCCTGCCTCTGCACGCGCCTCAGTTTCCCCGCCTGTAACATGGAGATGGTCCTACTGGTCCAGCCAACATCAAGTTACTTCGTTTGGAATTCCAAGTGAAAGAGTTTGAAAAGCAGAAAACACTGTGTAAAGTCCCCCCGGTCCACTCAACACTCTGGTTTATAAAGACGGAGAAGATGCTGGCAGCTCCTGCCCACTGAGGACCTCCTGTGTGCCAAGCGCTGTGCCTGGCTCTTGACACTTGCTATCCCCCCGCCATCCTCCTAAAAACCTTCAAGAAACACTTGACTATACCCATTGTCCAGATGAGGCTCCTGAGGCTCAGAGGTCAAGTAACTTTCCCAAGGCCACACAGCAAGTAACCAGCAGAGCAAGAGGCGATCCCAGGTCAGGCAAAGCCCCCACCCCTGACCTGGCTCCCTGGTACAAGCAGAGAATCTGGGCTAAAGCGCTAGTAAGGCAACAGGCCTTCTTACCCCCCAGGGCCATTTGGCCATTCTGCTGGAGGATTCACATATGGCAAGTCTACCAAGAATTAGTTGTTGGCAAAACACGATGGGCTCCCACTGTCTATTATCCTCATTAAGCTTGATTATAATTAGAAAGAGGCAGGCAGGGTTGACTGACATCCCAAGAGAGCATCCTGTTCCCACTAATCCCAGAACTGAAGAAATGTCCCTTGGGCAGCGGCCCCAGGCCAGCGTGGTGGTGGGCATGGAGGGTCGGCAGCAGCTGCAGACAAAGGCCTGGAAAGGTACCCAGCCACCCTACCTGTGACAGTGGGTCATGTAGGTGACCGTCTCCTCCCACTGGGCTTTGACGTCCTTCAGCTGGGTCAGGATCTCAGGCTTCTGGTCCTCATGGCAGCATGCCAGGAGGGCTTCGGCCGCCCGCAGCACCATGTCCACCTTCACGCGGCCCTCTGGCTCTAGCTGGCATATTTTCTGTTGTGGACACAAAGCCAGTTCCCAGGAGTTAGACAACACGTCAACAGGCAGAGCCTTGGGAAGACAGTGGCAAGACATGGAAAGAGGCAGGACTTTGAGACCAGAGGAGCTGGGGTTCGAATCACAGCCCCTGCCCCTTCTCCTGTGACCTTGGGCAGGCTGCTAAGGGCTGTGGGGTGGGAGCGAGCGGCGATGGAGATTAATCAGCACAGAACCTCCCAGAGCTGTCTGATGATAGGAATGCCCTCCCTTCCCCGATGGGCCTGTTTCCAGCTGCGTGAACCCAGAAAAGTTTCAGTACTTCCCTGGCCTTGGTTTTCTTGTCTGTAAAATGGGTGTATAGTAGTACTCAGCTCTCAGATTTTTTTTTTTCCCAGAATTAACTGAGAAAATGCATGTAAAGTGCATGTCCCAGGCCATGAGAATCTGCCTCTCAGGCCCACTGCAGGGAGTGGGCTTGGCCCAGGTCCCCAGCCGAGGCTCAGAATTATCTCTGAGTTTGCAGTTGGCACCAAGGCCTCGCTTCCTCAGCTGTTCCCACCAGTGACCAAACAGGAACATGAAGGCAGGCCCGTCACTACAGGACACTGGGCTCCTCTGATGGGTGACTGATTCGGGATGCCCCATGGCCTTGCCAAATTCCCTGAGAACCACTCAGCAGCCCAAGATTCTCCCTGCTCTCCCAGACTCAGGGTCGGACCTGCATTGGACTGACCGTGTTCCTCCCAGCCACCCCGGGTTCCCGTCCCATTTTCTCTCACAGATGGTTCCCTATTAAACGTCTTGCATATTTAGCCTCACCTTGGCCTTGGATTCTTGGAGGACCAAGGCTGATACACAACGCCTGGCAAATAGTACGTTATCTGGTAACATTAGCTGTTGTCATTATTCACTGTTATTATTCTAGTTCTTTGGCAACTAAAGCTTGGTCTCTGCAGTCAAAATAAGATTAGACTCCAATTCCAGGGCTAGTCTCCACTACCTGTGTGACCTTTGTCATGGTACTTAAACTTTCCAGGCCTATGAAATGGGGGAAGATAATGGTTAATGCCACCCAAGGTTATAATGACATTGCGAGATACACTAGCACGTGGCCTGGCCCACTGCATCTTCCATCACTCCAAAATTGTTCACCGTTACCACTATCTTTTGCTTACCTTCTGTTTATATTTACTGACAGCACAGCATTTGCCTAAAGCTCCAGCTGTTCCCCAGCCTGTCTCCCTAAGGCTGGCAGTCAGTTTTCTTAGACTGATGTCCCAGTGGGCTGGCCGTCTGAGCCTTCGCTGTGGGTGGGGTCGGGGAGGGGCTCCTGCCGTGTCCAGGGCTGCCCCACTGACAGCTCTGTGGTCCCAGGCAGGTCACTCAGTCACTCAGAGATGGTGATAACAATCTCTGCTTTGTCTACCTCATAGGGTTATAACATTACTTTTCAAAAACACTATTAATTAGAACACTGATATGTTAGCGTACTTTATAAACCACTGAGCGGTTACGCAGACCCTCCCCCAACACGTGCAAATGGGCAATGGTCCCAGTCCTCTTTTGTTACCTCGTATGACAGTGGTTAACGATGATGATGACATCGATGATAGTATAGAGCAGCAGTCCCCAAGCTTTTGGGCACCAGGGACCGGTTTCGTGGAAGACAGTTTTTCCACGGGTGGTGGCCGGGTGGGAGATGCTTCAGGTCATCATGCGGGCGACGGGGAGAAGCAGATGAAGCTTCACTCGTTCGCCTGCTGTTCAGCCAGTTTCCTAACAGGCCACAGATGGGTACCGGTCCCCGGCCCAGGGCTTGGGGACCCCTGGTATAGAGGGACTTCCCTGCCTACGTGTGTTATCAAAGAGTGAGATTAAAGAACCTCCTTACAAGGGCTGTCTCTGTGCTCTGAGTGGGGTGTAGAGCTGGTAGCGTGAAGAGCAGGGAGGCTCCCCCAGAGAGGAAAAGAGCTTTGGTTTGGGGCTCAGGGCTGGGCCCAGCAGCAGGATCTGCCGGACCCTAACAGGTAACGGGGACAGCAGGAGCCCAGCAGGGACCCCAGGTCCCGCTCAGCAGTGGGCAGCAAAGTGGCGGACAAAGGCACCACAGTGACGAGTGTGGACCAAAGACCCAGGGCCACCGTGGAATGTTCTGGGCTGAGTAAGATTACCCACCCCCTGAACAGAACATTTCGCACCTCTCAGAAGAAGGGGTCCCCCAGCATGGCTGAGGATGAATTTCTTGCCATCCAGTGAGATTTAATTTGATTAGAAATAATAACAATAGGGCTTCCCTGGTGGCGCAGTGGTTGAGAGTCCACCTGCCGATGCGGGGGACGCAGGTTCGTGCCCGGTCCGGGAAGATCCCACATGGCGCGGAGCGGCTGGGCTCGTGAGCCATGGCCGCTGAGCCTGCGCATCCGGAGCCGGTGCTCCGCAGCGGGAGAGGCCATGACAGTGAGAGGCCCGCGTACCACAAAAAAAAAGAAAAAGAAATAATAATTCAGGATCTGATGTCTCTGACACCCAGAGTTGTGGAGTAGACCCCATGCCCAATCCCCAAGCTGGCAAGATAGGCACCAGGGTGATTCCAATTTTACCAGTGGGGGCACTGGGGACCCACAGAAACCTTAGCTTTGCAGAACAATTCTCTGCAGCAGTTAGTGAGGCCTCCTCTATAGGGGCTGCCCAATTTAACCTCAGTCGGAATCCAGCTCCGTGAATGAAGGGAGACAGCAGCTTGGGGAAGAAACTAAATTCAGTCTCTCTCTGCCACACTCACAAGGAACCAGCCAGGCCTGGAAAGTCCCTGTGAGGACAAGGGCCCCTTCCCAAAGTCCAGGGTCCTGATGGTGTGACCTGCTCTAGGCCTCTGGACATTTGCCCTCCTGATTCCTGGCCAGGGAGGCGCAGGCTGGACCAGGGGAACATGGGAGATGGGGGGACCCACCACTCTTTGCAGGGGAGTGAGCCTGTTGCTTCCCTGCAAAGAGAGAAGAGCTGGCCAGTCCCAAAGGCCGGCAGAACACGAGCCCCACCTGGCCTGAGGCAGAAACCCCTGCCCCCAAACCGAAACACCGACCAGAGGCATGTCTGCTGTGGGACCAGAGGCTAGGGCTGAGCTGGCAAAGCCAACTTTCGAGAAGCAGATTCCACCCTCCTCCTCTGCCCCGAGGATTCCGGCCTGGCGCGTGGTTCTTCTGCAGCCCTGCCCCAGCAAGGACGCAGTCCAGGAGTGCTTGGCAAGGGACACGAGCCAGCTGGGAAGCGGGTCATTGAACGGTGGCCACAAAGCAATTCTGATTCGAGGGAGCCAGTGAGGGCAAAAGGCAGGCGGGGTTTGGGTAGAGGGAAAACCTCGGCAGGTCAGGAGGGCTGGAGGAATGTGGCGAGTCAGGGCCTTCCCTCAAGGCGGTCACGGCCAGACGGGTGCTGTCCTGGGTAATGTGCTGAGTACTATGCTGGGTACCGAGCTGAGTACTGTGTTGGGTACTGAGCTGACTACTGTGCTGAGTACTATGCTGAGTACTGTGCTGGGTACTAGAATCCAGGAGGAAAACAAACATGGCCCGATGCTTGCAGGCTGTAAGGGGGTCTGCAGACAAGAGCACAGATGACTGTAAAAGAGCCGTGAGAGACCCCAAACTTGGAGCTCTGAGGAGGGATGTGGGCAAACCAAGAAGGCCTTATGAGGAGGTGGCAGCGGCACCAGGCCTCAGTGCTGAGCAGACATTTGAGCCAGCAAAGCTAGGAAAACACGGCGTGTTCAGGGTATCTGGCTTTTGGAAGCCAAGTCCTAGGAAATGTGGCATGTCTCTGACCATAAAGAGGCTTGGAAACCAGTAAGGAAACAGCCTGGCCTAGACCCCAAGTGCAGGGCCAAGGAAGGCAAAGCGACAAGATGCTGTGACCTGGGAGACCAGCCGCTGCGGGCACCGGCGTGGGCTGAGAGAGTCCACAGGCTGGTGTACCTGCCTCGAAACCACGAGCAACCATCTTCTCCACTGGCTCTGCCAGCGCGCCCTGCACTTTGCCAAGTGCACCAGTAAGTCACTGGCCTCAATCCTCCCACCCTCCTGCAAGGTGGCAACTAGCACTTTCCCCAGGAGCAAAGGCGAGGCTCAGAAGGCACTGGAAATTCTCCCCAGGTGCCACAGCCGGAGCGGGGATTCGAACCCAGGCCTGCAGGCCCCAGACCCCAGCTCTCCCCCTCCCCCAGGCTCCTCCCTCCCCTCCCCCTGGACCCCCATCCTGGCTAACTCCTCATTCAAGCCTCAGCAGTGACGTCACTTGTCCCCAGAGGCCTTCTCTCAGTGACCGGTCCCTGCCGGGGGGTCTTCCTGCACTTTACAGCTGGGAAGATGAGGTGGTAGGAGGGCATGGGACCCGCTCCTGGCCACACAGCTACTAAGCTTCAGAGTTGGATCAGAACTCATATCCTGGTCACTCTAGCCAACAGGCGCTTGGGACATGCGTCACTGAGCTGGTGGAGGGATCGCATGGGAGACCCCAGCCCCAGGGGAGGTCCCATGGGCCAGCAGGTAGAGAAGGCTCTAGCTGCTCCCTTTCACCAGAGGACAAGGGTGAGATGTCTTCTTATCGCAAAACTGGTTTTGAAACATTGAAGCACACAGAAAACAAGCGGGTCTGAGCCCCGAAGGAGAGCACGGTGGGGCACCCAGGACACGGCTCCCTTGACCTAGGCTCCAGGCCAAATCCCTGAGGGCTCACCTGATGGAAGTGCTCCCTCGGCTTCCAGAACCCGGTCACCTTGGCCTTGCCAACATCTCTTCCTAAGGGCCGCCCTTGCCTTCGCCTAACGAAGCCAGACCCACCGCCAGGGGGTAATGAGCTGCCAGCAAATGGTGCAAGGTCCAAAGGGATTAGCACGCTAAGACAGCAAGTGCTGTGCAGGGCTGCCAGGAGCTGGGGCTGGGGCTGGGGGAAGTGGTTAGGAAAGACACGTGGACGAGGGGACGTTTCATTTCACATGCACACCCACACCCGAACGAAAGGGTGTTCCAACTAGAGGCAACAGCACACCCAAAGGTTTGGTGATAGGAAATCTAGGAGGTTTTCTGCCAGCGGGAGAGGATGTGTGCCTGGGAGGTCGGCTGGAGGGGGAAGCTGAGGCTGGAAAAGAGGGCTGTAGAAGACAGGTAGTGGAGGACGTTTGATGCCAGGTGAAGCTGGGTTTTCTCTCACAGGCAATGGGGAGCCATAGAAGGTTTTAGAGAAGAATAATTTCATGAGACCCATGTTAGGGATGTACCGCGTACGTACTTGTGTGGCTGCAGGATTATGTGCGTGCCTGTCCCCGTGATGGCCGTGAACCCGAGCGTAGGGTGTGCCTCACCCCTTCCACCACCCCAGGTGTGGGGTCAGCTCTATTTCTAGCCTGTTGGGGGGTCAGTTTGTGCAGGAAGAGGTAAGCCTTCCCTTAAATAAAGCAACCATTGTTAGGTGATAAATTAGAATTGTGGAATATCCCAATGGATATGACCTGAGAGACGTTAAGTCAACTAACTGCTTTACTTATAGATGGGAAAATGAGGCCCAGAGAGGGACAGGAATGTGGCTGAGGTCACACAGCACTTTAGATCAGTGTGGAGACTACAACCCAGGTCTCTGACTCTTAGTCTAGAGTTCTTCCCCCTGGCCCCTGGCCCGGAGCAGATGACCTCAGGTGGGGGGCACCACAGTGCTGGGCCAGGCACTGGGCATTGGCACTTTTGGTCAGGGTAGCACTGAGCCTCTGCCTTGTGCCAGGTCAGGGTACAGCTGGACTCTAGCCCTGTAAGAGCCAAGGGAGGGGCCTCAGCTGCAGAGAAGCAGAGAAGGGGCAGGAAGCAGGGCCTGGGCCACCTGGGGGTGGGGACCATCCGGCTGCACGGCGCCCCCTTCCCGGATGGGAGAGTCAGGCCCTTACGATGAAAGTGTGATCCTAGGACCCCCAGCAAAGGTGTCACCGAGAGCACGTCAGAAATGTCACATCTCGGGTCCACCCCCAGCTCCTGGATCAGAATCTGCACTTAAACCCCAGGAGATTCAAAGACATCAGATTTTGAGAAACACCCGTCTAGTCTGCTCTGCCATGCAACAGCTGGGAAACCTGAGGCCTGAGAGGGAGGGACTGGGCCAAGGCCACAGGTTTATCAAGGCCATGGTCTCTGCATACCTCGGTCTCCCGCAGCCTGGCCTCCAGGGCTGCACGGGGCCCCTGGGTGTTGTCATTGATCTGCAGCCGCTCCTGCACAGCCTTCATCCACTCCTGGGCGTCCCCCATGCTCCTGGCGAAGCCCTCCTGCGGCTGCTGAGTCATGGCACCTGCAGGGGCTGAAGACAGGACCACACGAGGTCAGGCGCACAGGTGAGGAGGGCAGGGGGAAGACGAGCTGTGGAGAGGCCCCAGCCAGCTGATGGCGGCGAGGGTCGGGGAGCCTGACCCTGGGAATGGGGCTTACACTCCACCCCCAGCACCCTCCTGATGCTCCAGCTTCGGTGCCAACAGCCAGAGGCGATCGTGTTTGTCAGAGAGCCAAAGGACTGCAAATGGGCCGAGAAGGAAAACAGGTCTTGCCTCTCCGGGGGCTGGGCAGGGAGAGCGGGGCCAGGGTGCCCAGTTGGCAAAGACTCCCTTTGTCTCAGATTCCCTGCTCCCCTGTGACACTAGCTTGGCACTCAGGGCCAACTCTCTCCTGTCTTTTTGGTTGGAAACCCCTCCAAAAGTGGATCCTAAAACACACACAGGCTGAGATGTCTGTGACAGACACTGAATCTTGATCTGAATGGATCAAAAAGCCTCAACCTAAGAAACACAGTTTTGGGGCACTGGCCAGGCTGACGCCAGCCCCTGAATCTCACCTGAAATTAGTATCTCAGGTTGGGGATGGCCCGGTGAGCCAGGTGTCTTGTGGCTACATCTCCAGCAAACCTGGGTCCCTGGCAGATGCTGCTAAGTGTTTCCACTGAGCTACGCACCACCTACCTCTTGGCAGCCACTGACAATCAATTGACCTAGCGTCTGAGCTGAGACCCACTGCCTTCGGGGATGCCCACCTCCTGGCATAGGTCTCCCAGCTAAACCAACCCCTTTGCTATCCTGTCCCCTCCTCTTTC